TTTGCAGAAGACGGTGTACAAATATGATGACACATATCATACAGCATGGACTATATGAAGACAATGAAATATCTTCTTCATGCACTTAAGTAACCTGGTTTTGACCCTGATAACCTGGGGATATCATGGTTTATATGACAAGCTGAAGGTACGATGGTTTACATGGCAGCCCTTATCTATGACTCTAAATGAATGAATGACTGGCTACATGACACACCATGTCAAGTTGACTATCTGCATTATGTACATAATAAGATATGACTACTATTGAAATATCAATAAGGATTAAACAAAACAAAACAAAATACTAGCACATTATAAATACACAGAGCCATTCCAAGAGTATCACAACACAGATATGATAACAGTTTACCTGTTATTTGAAAAAAAAAAAAAATGACTATTGATAACAATGTAAGTTAATAATGGCAGCACAAATTGATGACTTTCTTGCCAGGAAGTGCAGTAAAAATTAAAGTTAACAGCTGGTCAACTTATTTTTTCTTCTGTCCTTTAAACCCCAATGGAGCATGAGCCCTCAATGAATTCACGTCAAGTCTGTTTTTAGACTCGATCGCATCTGGCTGGATTTTCTGGATGCAGCTTATAAAGAAATGCAGGAGTCAACCTATAGTACAACTCTTTAGACGCCTCTCACAACATACTTGATTGCGGACACTGTTGCTATTTTTGTTTTACTTAAGGCCTTTTAACACATCATTAACTACTGACTGGCGTTGGCGATCATGCCTCTCCACAACCTGTGATTTTGTATCAGTTTGTGTACTGACACCTCTCCATGCAATTAAATTTTTTTTGGTTTGCCTAATCTATAAAAAAATCCCATTTCTGAGGTCTCAAGAAATTTTGTGACCTGTTTTTAAATGTCTAGGCTCTAACACATAGACATTGATTTTTAAAAATAATAATGTAATATTAATTTTAATGATTATTTTAAATATTCCTTATGCTGCTTGACGTTCGAGACATAGCAAATACGCTGACATATAATCAAAGTATAAATAAAATATAAGAATATCAATTCAAAAGGAAAACAAGAAAACTATCTTAAAATAGAGATAAAATCAAGGTACAAAATGGTACAACTGGCAAGTCAATCAATACAAAAAAATGAATTTAAAATTGAGAATAGAATTAACCTCAAGAATTACTAGAAAAGTGAAACAAAATACTAGCTGAAAAATAAAATGACAAGTGTCACTGTTATCTATGAATGGGTTGGACAATCAAACGGAAACAAAACAAATCAAGTCACAACACAATATCTAGGTGTGCTACCATGGTAACGATTTAGCACAATAGCCTAATTAAGAACACACACAAATATCTGGGGTTTTCTATTCCTATATAAGTCTGCATGTACAGGATTTGCTAAATCCACACAAGTATGTGTGAATTCATGAAAATATGCAACAAGGAAAATTGGGATCTTGGTCGCTGTACAAAAAAATATTTTTGGTTAAAAATAAGTTATAATTTGTGAGGATCCTATCTTTCCTGGCAATAAAAAAAAATATAAACTGTCAATAAGAGAACAAAAAGTATAGTCAGTTTTCACACCATGTATAGCCAAAAACTAAATCAACAAACAAAAGTTTCAAAGGTGAGACACCGCTCTCTCTCTCTCTCTATATATAGCATACCAGTCATTTTGGATCTGAAGCTTCAACTTCATCATCCAAGCTAAGTTTATCCTGTGGATCTTGTAAGGCAGACTTCAATAAAGATGAGGACATGATTCTATAGGGTAAGTCATATCAATTGCTATGTAATTTGTGACTTTGTCCATTTGGATCTTTTTTCTAGATATTTTCCATGCAAATTTAGATGTTTTGAGATATTTTTTGACTCCGTTTTGGATGTTTTTTGTCAAAGAAAAGTGGCAACACTGGTCTGGATTATAAAACAATCGCACTAACCTCAAAGCTGCATAAGTTCTACCAACCCACGGGTAAAAGAAGATAAAACAGCAACAAGAACTACTCAGTGGATTAATAAACCAAAAGTCCTTGATAATAAGAAGTTAAATATATGATGAGTTGCTTAGCAAGGAAAGAGTTAAAGTTAATTTATAAATATGTGGTTCTGTCCATGCTGTTACTGGTTTGATGCCGCACATAGTGTCCGCAATCACAGAGATAGAGACAGGCAGGAGGATTTAAACAGGAAAAGGTTAAACATAAAAGTTTAACTGAATGGTGATCAGTAAGCAATGTATATAAATAAAGAGAAAATACAAAAGTAATTATCTGTCCATAATAAAAGTTCATCATGGTATATAAAATCAGTAATATACAAATAGAGAAGACACATGTTGTATTGCTTCCATTAATTTCTTTACAATTATTATTATCTTCCTTACAATCCATTTTTTTTATTACACATTTTGTATTGACTACTTCTATGAATTTCTTTACAATTAATCTATCCTTCTTTACAATCCATTTTTCTCTTCATTTTCTTGGATGTCTATTTCCTTCTTGTTGACTTCTAGCCACTTGCATTAACAGGAAATGCACCTTCTGACATATACAATTTCCCTAACCAGATAGTTGCACAATTTATGTTCATAAAAGATTTCAAAATAAATAAAGTCAAGGATACTGCTATACAGATGTAACAACCAGCTCTCTCACCATCATTTAGAGAAAAACCTCAAATGTCCAGTGTACTGCTTTTGTTGAACTCAGAATCACATGAATGAAGAGAACAGTTTGGCACTATCAACAACTGAATTTCAGATCAATGCTTTGATAAGCACTGCACTAATCAACATGCCTTTAACATCATTATGATTATCATCATCATCCTCAAGTGTCTTGCTGGCTAGTGAAGTTGGTCATGCCTCTTCGCAACCTGCGATCTCCAACAGGATGCAACAGTTCCTGTGCTGACACCCTTTCATGCCATGACAATAGGTTGTCTAGACATTTCTGGCAATGTCTTCCTTCTCGTCTCTTTCCACTCGTCACAATGTTCCTGTTTCTTTTCTCTCCCCCCCCCCCCCCCCCCTACATAGCAGAAATGAGGACTTATCTCTTTCCAGTATCTGATGCTTCTAACATCACTAAAAAAAAATTTAACAATTAAAATACTAATAAATGTGGGTAAATTTAAAAAAAAAAAAAGCAATATAGAAATAAACTGTTTGAATAGCACAAGAAATAAATAAGTGTAGACACTAAAACATCCATTCTGGAGAACAAGCACCAAAAATGAACAAGCTTTTGAACGGTGATGCAAATTAAAGTCTATGACTAGGAAGTTGACATAAAAATGTACTGCAGATTGGGATTGGGGGGAGGGGGGGGGGGGGGACAAGGATGGTACACAAACTAACAATAATCCGGTGAGTGGTCGGAATCTACTCAAAGATTTGCCGATGTGTGGAAACTGCTCTAACCAAGCTGATGTCTCTCAACTCAAATGTGTGCTGATGTTACCAGAATGTCAGCCATGCTTCTTCCTACTCAGATTATACTGTGCAAATCAATCCATTTATCATCACATGGTGCCAGGCTCGTTAACTCAGTTGGTTAAACCTGACTGCGCGGCGACCGGGTAACAAACTCCTTGTTGTCCGGGTTCACGCTCTGGGGTAGGCAGAAAAGCTACATTTCTGCCAGATTTAAGGTATCTGTCATGGTATCGAGGCCGAAGGGTTGCGATATCTATAATACCGAGCCAAAGGGTTTACAATTCATGGTTTCTGGATATTTTTTAGAAGAAAAAGAAAAAAAACTACAAGGTACACATTTTTACAATATCTGCCTCAATGTTCCTTTAGTACATCAGGGCGATTCCACTGATTTTACTCAGAGGCCAAAATATTGAAACAGGGGTTGTCGGGGTACAGAGGCCCAGCTTAGAAAGGTCATGAATTATTTAGGGCCCAGTCAAATTAGTTTGAAATCAATGCATGGTGCGTTCTTTAGGGCCCACAGAGTAACTACAGTAAAACTGTGGCAATAATCCGTGGGCCACTTGCTAGTCTTCTGCGGTCCGGATCTGGATCACAGGCTGCCAGTTGCATAGTCCAGCTTCACAGGAATCTATTCTGTTCCATGAATTCCTTTCAATCAATCAAGTGTCATCACAACCATAAATACTGACTGCAACAGATCTCCAACATGCTGTCTTTCGTCCTAGATGTACACTCTCACATTGCTGTTCACCCATCTCTTGATGTTACCCTCCCACTTGTATTCATTGTCTACCTTTTGCTCACCTGCCTCCAACGCCCCCCCCCCCTCCAATATTCTTTGTTATTTCTATCAGCAAACTCTCTTTTTTATTTCCAGTCTTCACAGAATCTCTGTATTGGATTGTTTTTGTTTCCCTGAAATACGACCTATTTTTCTATATATTATTACTTTAGCTTGCTCTGTTTCCTGCTCTTACAATACCATGCCATGTGGCACTTGTAGATATGCTTGTCCAGTCTTCTGCCTTGTGTACTTTTTAGTCATTTCCAAAACAGACTTTCATCCACCCATGTTGGCAAACTGTCAAGAATCTTCTTTCTCTCTCTCTACGTCTTTCTCTGTTTTTCTTTCCCTCCAGTTTTCTTGCTATCATGACTAATTTCGGTTTTCCCCTTCTCACGATGGGACCAAAGAAAGCAGACTGGCTGTCTCCTTGTAAGCGGATCTTCGTGAGTTATCTTCTTTCAAGACATCTTCATTACTGTTTGTCTGTCTCATAATTTTAACTCATTAAAACAAATGTTCCTCTAAAGAAAAACATTTTAGGATAAACATGCATGAACTAGCAACTGTCTGGAATCGACAGAATTGATTAACAGAGAAACAGACACGGCTTCAAACTGGCAGACTGAGATGAAATAACACAGATGTTTGATCCTTTGATTTTGTTGTCTGTCTACGTCATTCAGACATTCCAGCATGCTGTGTAACAACCACATGACCTGCATGTCTTACAGTCTCAAGACACTTTACTGAAAATACTCATCTATGCAATCATTTGCCAGGTTGGTCTTGTAAAAATATCTCCACTTGCGGTTCTGCGCTGGCAGCTGCCGTGGCTATCTTCATTGCTGCTCGTTTTTCTGCCAGTAGCTTTTTTCTGGCTTCATCTCTGGCTTTCAAAGTCTGCCTGGCTTTCTGAGCTTCCTCAGGGGAAGAGTCTGGTGTGTCTTTGTTGTTTTTATTTTGTCTTAAGTTTCGGCGTTTTGAGCCTGGAAAGAGAAGACAAAAACTTTCGAGTTGGTTGGTCTAATAAAAACAGTTAGATGCAGAAAAAACAAAAAAATTTGTTAAAACTAGACAATGGAAAGTGTTTTACTCTTATTTAAAATTAAAATTTTTTAAAAAAAATCAGTTACCGCTGAACTTATTTTTGTACTTTAACAAAAATATCAAATTCTGCTTACACGAAACATATTTTAAAGACTAAATCCTGAAAGTCTGTTTCTTCTTATTTATCCTTGTTCACTTTGGGGGAAATAATGTGTTGATCACTTATTACCATATTTTTGGGGGCCATTATCTGAGAAAGCTAGACATACAATCCATTACCCATGATCTCCCCTGATGCTGGCCCTTCTGGGCTTTTCTGCCCAGCGTATCCCACGTAATTTTACATTCCTTTATTTTCCCCTTATATACTCTTTTCCACGTTTCCTTAGGTTGTCCAGGTTTCTTATTTTTATCTGCCGTTCATTGAGGCATTCCGCAAACCTTTTCTAGCCATCTTCACCTTCTTTTTCGTCAACAGTGACGAGAAGATCAACTATAATCAGCAAACTGTCCGCACACAGCGGCAATGATAACTATACCAACAAACACTGGGCTACTTGATGACAGAGACCGCACACAGCGGCAATGATAACTATACCAACAAACACTGGGCTACTTGATGACAGAGTCCGCACACAGCGGCAATGATAACTATACCAACAAACATTGGGCTACTTGATGACAGAGACCGCACACAGCGGCAATGATAACTATACCAACAAACACTGGGCTACTTGATGACAGAGACCGCACACAGCGGCAATGATAACTATACCAACAAACACTGGGCTACTTGATGACAGAGACCGCACACAGCGGCAATGATAACTATACCAACAAACACTGGGCTACTTGATGACAGAGACCGCACACAGCGGCAATGATAACTATACCAACAAACACTGGGCTACTTGATGACAGAGACCGCACACAGCGGCAATGATAACTATACCAACAAACACTGGGCTACTTGATGACAGAGACCGCACACAGCGGCAATGATAACTATACCAACAAACACTGGGCTACTTGATGACAGAGACCGCACACAGCGGCAATGATAACTATACCAACAAACACTGGGCTACTTGATGACAGAGACCGCACACAGCGGCAATGATAACTATACCAACAAACACTGGGCTACTTGATGACAGAGACCGCACACAGCGGCAATGATAACTATACCAACAAACACTGGGCTACTTGATGACAGAGACCGCACACAGCGGCAATGATAACTATACCAACAAACACTGGGCTACTTGATGACAGAGACCGCACACAGCGGCAATGATAACTATACCAACAAACACTGGGCTACTTGATGATAGAGACCGCACACAGCGGCAATGATAACTATACCAACAAACACTGGGCTACTTGATGACAGAGACCGCACACAGCGGCAATGATAACTATACCAACAAACACTGGGCTACTTGATGACAGAGTCCGCACACAGCGGCAATGATAACTATACCAACAAACATTGGGCTACTTGATGACAGAGACCGCACACAGCGGCAATGATAACTATACCAACAAACACTGGGCTACTTGATGACAGAGACCGCACACAGCGGCAATGATAACTATACCAACAAAACACTGGGCTACTTGATGACAGAGACCGCACACAGCGGCAATGATAACTATACCAACAAACACTGGGCTACTTGATGACAGAGACCGCACACAGCGGCAATGATAACTATACCAACAAACACTGGGCTACTTGATGACAGAGACCGCACACAGCGGCAATGATAACTATACCAACAAACACTGGGCTACTTGATGACAGAGACCGCACACAGCGGCAATGATAACTATACCAACAAACACTGGGCTACTTGATGACAGAGACCGCACACAGCGGCAATGATAACTATACCAACAAACACTGGGCTACTTGATGACAGAGACCGCACACAGCGGCAATGATAACTATACCAACAAACACTGGGCTACTTGATGACAGAGACCGCACACAGCGGCAATGATAACTATACCAACAAACACTGGGCTACTTGATGACAGAGACCGCACACAGCGGCAATGATAACTATACCAACAAACACTGGGCTACTTGATGACAGAGACCGCACACAGCGGCAATGATAACTATACCAACAAACACTGGGCTACTTGATGATAGAGACCGCACACAGCGGCAATGATAACTATACCAACAAACACTGGGCTACTTGATGACAGAGACCGCACACAGCGGCAATGATAACTATACCAACAAACACTGGGCTACTTGATGACAGAGAACGCACACAGCGGCAATGATAACTATACTAACAAACACTCGGCTACTTGATGATAGAGACCGCACACAGCGGCAATGATAACTATACCAACAAACACTGGGCTACTTGATGACAGAGACCGCACACAGCGGCAATGATAACTATACCAACAAACACTGGGCTACTTGATGACAGAGACCAACATTAGGCTAATGATAATGACAATGACAAACATTAGGCTAATGATAACGAGAAACAAACACTGGGCTACTTGATGACAGAGACAAGTGTTAATTAATGATAGTGATGGAGACAAACATTAGGTTTATGATAACGACAGACACAAACATTAAATTAATGAAAGCAACAGAGAAACAAACATTAGGTTGATGATAACGACAGACACAAACATTAGATTTATGACAGAGACAAACATTAGGTTAATGATAACGAGAAACAAACATTAGGTTTATGATAATGACAGACACAAACATTAAATTAATGAAAGCAACAGAGAAACAAACATTAGGTTTATGGTAACGACAGACACAAACATTAAATTAATCAAAGATACAGAGAAACAAACATTAGGTTTATGGTAACGACAGACACAAACATTAGATTTATGACAATTACGGAGACAAACATTAGGTTAATGATAACAAAAAACAAACATTAGGTTTATGATAACGACAGATACAAATATTATATTTATGATAACGACAAACATTAGGCTAATAACAACGACAGAGACCAACATTAGGCTAATGATAATGACAGTGACAAACATTAGGCTAATGGTAATGGCAGTGACAAACATTAGGCTAATGATAATAGCAGTGACAAACATTAGGCTAATGGTAATGACAGTGACAAACATTAGGCTAATGATAATGGCAGTGACAAACATTAGGCTAATGACAAACATTAGGCTAATGGTAATGACAGTGACAAATATTAGGCTAATGGTAATGACAGTGACAAACATTAGGCTAATGATAACAACAGTGACCAACATTAGGATAATGATAGTGGCAGTGACAAACATTAGGCTAATGATAATGACAGTGACTGACAGACATCAAGCCGGTTATAACATGATGTATGATACTAACCTGGTGTATGTGACGGTGTGACAGCTGGTGTGCTGCTCTGAGAAACAGTGCCTGATTTTGGACTAGAACTTGCAGAACTATATCTGGAACCCTAGGAACAATAATATCAGATATAGTAAGATCTCAGGTATCGTCAGACGCCATATACTTTAACAGTAATCTTGAGGAAAAAATTTTTTTAATACATTTTCATTTTTTAACTTTTTCCTGTCTGCATTTAATACATTTTTAGATTGGTATAGCATTGAACAATTTCTTGAGGCCGTGGAAATAATGTTTTACAGAGAATTCTTAGAATTCTGTAAACAGCCTAAAAAGAGTAACCCAGGTTTAAGTATGAAAAAGAGACAGAAAAAAAAAAGATAGATTGAGAGAGAATAGCTTGAGTTTAAGATTTCTGAAGTTTTACTGGAAGGGAACTCTCTTTCGAAACAATAACATCTCCTCCTCCCTTCTCAGCATCAAAAATCATGGAATTAAGGATGTATACCAAGGTACCTCCATATAAAGCTAATATATCCATTCATATAGGTTTGGGCCGCGTGGTCTTGAGGCATGGTGTCGGCCTCGAGTGCTAGAGGTTCCGGGTTCAATACCTGGTAAGGAATGAGATTTTTTTTCATGTGGACTTGGACTTCTAGTAATTCCCTCTGGTCTCTGGGTAGTCAGATCAGACGCCCGTGTGCATTGTTGCTCACGTAAAAAAAAATCCATTGGCAGTTGGAAATAGAAAAGAGTAGCCTAATGGCGCTGCCCGGGCAAAAATTTGGAGTTAAAAATCTACCCAAAGTATTTCAGGATCCTCGCCAATGCAACAGAGCCTGTGCACTGTGCTGAGCTTTTTTGGACTCAAGACTTGAGTTAAAAGAAGAACGGAGCACTTATGGGTTACTACCCTTGTGCCATGATGATGATCCATTGTTCAAACCTCATCAATAAATCTAACCTATCTATCTATCCATCCATTTATCCTTTATCTAGCACGTAGACAATGTAGCAAACTGACAGTCAGTCAGCCAAAGCCACTTGTCCATACCTTAAGATGTTTTCAGTATATGGTGATTGGCAATGACTATCATCACAGCACTCAGTACAGATCCAAACGTGCTCCATCTTCTCCCTAATAATAGTTTCACAATAGTAAAATGACTGAATATGCCATTCTGTGTTGACCAACCAAACACCTTGTGCCCTTGGTACAATGTTCATAACTGGCTACACCATTTTTTTTTTAAGTATCCAGAAACCATAAGTTGTAAACCCTTTGGCTCGGTACTATGGATATCGCAACCTTTCGGCCTTGATTCCATTATAGGTACCGTAAATTTGGGAGAAATGTGGCTTTTCTGCCTACCCCTGGGAGTGAACCCGGACCTCAAGGAGTTCATCACCCGGCCACCGCGAAAGTCAGGTTTAACCAACTATGCTAGAGAGCCCGATGGTCACAAAGATAATAGTTAGGCAAGTTATTCATGATGCATTTAATTAGAGAACCCATTCTTGTCTGATGAAGCCGACCAAGATTTTTTTTAGCACATTATTGAATCGCTCAGTAAGCACGCATGTGTGAATTCTTGAGTACCCAGCCATGTCAATGCCCTTTTTGAAGCCATGGTTCTCTCTGTGAACTTACTGGTTGCAACAGCAAAGGCTCTTTAATTGTTTTGTCCTTTTGCGCTTGCAGTAAACACCCGTGCACTTCGCTTGCCCCAGGTGACTGATCCATCTGTGCAAACCACACTGAGTAAATGGTGCTAGCCCAATATGCCTTAAAGATCAAGCATCAATCAAGTAATGTAATCAAAATCACACTGGTTACCTTTACTTACCAGAATATTTCCTAGTACCAATTTTAGGCTGTATCAGCCTTGAATTTTAGGCTGTATCAGCCTTGAATGGTTTTAGGGTAATGAAAGTAGAACACTATACATAATAATGAGAAGAAGACAAAGTTCTTTGGTCATGTGATGAGTAAAGGAGCATAGGAAATTATCGTGATGACTAGAAAGATCACTGGTAAACTAGGGAATTGATTCAGAACACCAAAGATTGAGATCTGTGGAGATGCATGAACGCCTACGCCAGCTGGCAAGGCTGACTGACCTTTAAGCCAAGTTAAGTTAATTAAAACATTGAACGAGACAAACAAACAAAAGTGACTTTAACAAAAGCTTATAAAAATAAAACCCAATCTTGACAGCCTGAAGAAAAACATGAGCCTATTTGTCTGACATGCAAGCAGCTGATGTGTCTGTGTGAATGCAACCACTTACCATATCCAGCACCTCTTGCCAACCATTCTCTCGCATCAACTCAATCTCAGCAAACATGTCATCCATGTGGTCAAGCTGAATCCTCACAATATCCCAGTAACCCTGGAGATCCTCCCATTTGGTTTCCCTCTCGTCCGGACTTCGTTGCTGGAAAGAAAAAAGTCACCTAAACAATCAAATGCCTGAAAAAAAAAACCAACCTTGCTAGGGTACAGCAATGTTTATTTAGTCAAAGTGGGAGCAGTGGTAATAAGGATGGACAGTCTCATATTATGAAAATGAAAGAATCACTTGGCTAACCTAAGACTTCTACTGTGAGATGAAAAGTATAACAAGTTCTAACCTGCATAGTCCGTGGCAACAGCACTAGACATGTGGCCCCAAATAAATCCTCAGACTTAAAGACCTTCCTGCTTACATACAACAGCACAATATAACACAATCGTCTGCAAAGATGGAAAGGTGCCAACACCTACACTATGAAAGTAGTAAATTCAGGCAGTTCAAGTACAGCAAAGGACCCTTTTCACGTCTTCAGGCGCATGGGCACAGAGGGCTAGACCTATATTTTATAGACAATCAGCACCAATCGGAGGGTGATGTAGCCACAATCAAGCCAGCCGCCTTTACTTTCCAGGACTCTACCTGGTACTCTTTCAAGACTGGGTTGACCTGGAAGCCAAGGTCATTTTTGAAAAAAGTCTGGTATCAAGATTCAAAACCATGAACTTCCGAAGCGCAGGCAAGCCTCTTTCTGCTACACCATGGCGGCTCCCTAAATACAGGCAGTACTTGATGGTAACGAACCCTCTTCACACCAGTGGTCCATCATGCTTTGGTGGTGGACTAGACTTGTGTAGAAGTGGCACCCAATCAGTGATGTGATCAAAACCACATCAGCCGCCTTTACTTCCCAAGACACAACTACCGTGTACTCATCGTAGGGTTGGGTTGACATGGCACCCAAGGTGAAATCTGAAAAAGATCTGACTTGCTGCCGAACTGAACCAAAGGTTTTATGGCTGGCAGGTGACAGGCAAGCCACTACACCACCATGGCTCCCTAGTTATAGAAGGCAAAAGTTCTAACCACTAGGCTACTGTAAACCAGATCCGCACATCATTATCATCATCTAATGCTTTGCCAACTGGCGTGGGCGATCAAGCCTCTCCACGCCAGGTTTAAGACTGTCAAGAATCATCTTCTCTATTTTATCGCAGATCTTTCCAGTGGTCACAACATCTTCCAGTGGTCACAACATCTTCTAGTGGACACAACATCTAGTGGACACAACATCTTCTAGTGGACACAACATCTTCTAGTGGTCACAACATCTTCCAGTGGTCACAACATCTTCCAGTGGTCACAACATCTTCTAGTGGACACAACATCGTCTAGTGATCACAACATCTTCTAGTGGACACAACATCTTCCCGGTTCCCGCTTCTCATAAAAAACTGGCAGAAGACAAGGAGAAACCAACACTGTATTTTTCATAGTCAATCATGCCTTTAAATAAATTGTAGGCGCACACATAACAAATCAACATTAAGCTTTATTTAAGTAATTAGAACTACAATTACCATGTGGTTTTGACAAAGATCTCTAAACTGGGTAAACTTCTGAGTGATCAACAAATTTGCTTTGCCGATTGCTGCCCGGATTTTACCTGATGCTGTTGGAGAAAAAAAAGTAGTTATGCAATGGCACTTTACTGTTTAAAAAAAAACCGAAACCTATAGTTATTATACTTGCATTATGCTCCTTTCAGCAGCTATGCACTTCCTTTTTTGAGTAGCAAAACATCATGAGGCGTTGGATAACTATGCATTTCTTTTTTGTGCGTGCGTATGTAAACAGTATAGCATTGCAGATTGTTAAGATAGTAAAAAAATATTTAACTGAGTTAACATTAGCATCACTGCACTCCAGACACACATACAATGTTGCTCTGACCCCCCCCCCCCCCCCCATCCCAGTCAATCCTCTAGCAAAGAGCGACTAATTCTGCCCATCAGGTATTGACTGAGAAGCCTCCTTGTACACACTTGATGTGCTGTTCTTTCCTAGCCACATCAATCTTTAATCATTCTGACCAATGAGATTTTTTTCTTCTTCTTTTGCCCTTAACCCTTTTACCCTAGGAAGCCACAAAACCGGCACTTATGGCTGGGGCCAATTCTAAACTAATGTCCCTTTTCCAACTTGTCTATAGTTACCTGAAATGTATAGTAAATGCTAGAGCTGTGTTCAGGCCTCTACAAACGTTTATGAGGTCGGGATGTGAATATATTAACTAAACATAGCATTTGTTGTTTTTAAAGGATTCTTTCAAGAATTCCTATGAAGTTTTGATCCATTTTTTTAGCATCACCGGGGTGAAAAGGTTAAAAGGGATCTGTGGGCTATTACTAGGCAGCAATATCTGCACATTTTGACCCCAAAAATCTGATTTCAGCAACTCCATAATTAGCTGACTTTAACAATATGCTTGTTAAAGGGGCAGAGGATCTATTCTTTTTCTCTTTCCTCGGATATGGGACCAAGGGAGATTACACATGATAATTTCTTTAGTTTTAGCCACAGCCTCTCTAAAGACATTGATGATATCTGCTCAACCCACTAGCTGACCCCCTGATATAGGGTTGGTATCAGCTAGCCGGCGTGTGTGGATTAAGCACTGTGAACGCGCTTCGTAATGCCGAGGTGCCGGGTTAGATCCCAGCTACTGACAGTTTGTCTTGAACTGGTTTCGACAATGGTGCCAACAGCAGACCATTCAGAAAGCAACGGCATCCTACTGAACATAATATTTGCCTATAAAACCACACAATATCCAAACAATGCTAGGGTTGGTTCTGCAATGTCCTGTAAAGGATACACAACTAACTTTATCAGCTAGTCTATCCACTCTTTCATAAATGTCTGAAACTACAATCTTGGCATCTTTTTCTAGCACCCAGCATATTTTGCTAAGCATCTCAATGGTTTCAGATTTAATCCTCAACAGAGCTTGATTTTTCGCCCATCAGCTTTATGGTCCATCCATCATCATCCTTACTGTGACAGGTCCTTTTTAGAATGCTGTTCCAAATCTTTGGTCTCTTGCTATGTTTTCCTGTTCAGCTGCCATAACACATTTCCTGAGATGAGTTTGTCACTGCCTTCCAGATTCACATGGTGTTAGACTATATCACTGTTATCACAAACGGGTGTCACATAATGAACACTAATCTGCATTGTGTATTTGCTGGAGAAGACTGAACACCTGCTGGTCTGTCCCATGTGCAATACCATCATTTGTATCTAACAGTACCATGATTGACACATACATACCTTCATCAGGAAGATCCTGTGCTCTTGTATGTGCCTCAGCCCGCAGGCACAAACTTCTGATTCTCTCCTCCTCAAACTGAGTGTGCTGGAGAAAATACTCCCCATCCTGGAGTCAAACAGAAAATCATGGCTTGGTTATAGTTATGCATCCTACTGAGAAAGAAAGAAAGAAAGAAAGAAAGAAAGAAAGAAAGAAAGAAAGAAAGAAAGAAAGAAAGAAAGAAAGAAAGAAAGAAAGAAAGAAAGAAAGGAAGAAAGGAAGAAAGAAAGAAAAAAAGAAAAAAAGAAAGAAAGAGAGTTTATGGTGTACATTGTGAAATTACACGCCACTGTCAACAGTTAAAAAAGATGTTGAAGATACTAAAATAAGTTATAAGAGCAATATATGGGTCCTGCCTTTATTGTGCAAGACAATACGTGACCTCATGCAGGATATTAACTCTTAACCCTCTGACTACATCATCATCATCCCGAAACACTACGTCTCGTTGGGTCACCAGTTTCTGTTGACTGATCAGCTCTCTTTACCCTTAGCGGTCAGTTCATGGTGGTATGTCTGAGGTCTGTCCAGTCAGTCAGGTTCTGTAAACCATGTCTTTCTTGGAATGAAGGCTCTAAATTGAAACTGTTGCATTGGCCAGTCCCATATAAGGCTAGATATTGACATTGGTTCTGTTGGCGCTGCACTGTGTTTATGAGGGTTGGAAATTATTCTATTTACTAAAAACAGCATCCGTTATTGTGGGGAGAAAATGGTTTGTTTAGTCATTATGTCTTCTTAATTTCCTTTATTGTATTTAGTAATCAGGATCACAGTATGAGTTACCATACAAATTATTTTTAAGCCTAATGAACTATAGTTGTTCAATTCTCCGCTCCATTCATGTTTATGATTACTCTTCATATATTTCTTTGAAAATTAATTTTAAAAATATATATATATATACATTGATAATTTGTTGATGACATATTTTTGTAACCTGTTTCTTTTAAGGATGTTTTCAAGAATTTCTGGGCTCTAGCTATTATATCCAAAGGGTTTGTGGGGCAAAAGGAAATGAGATTTTCTCATCTTTGATTCTGGATTATTCTGTCTTAATGAGTTTTGATATAGTCATAATTTGCTGTGTTTTTTTTAATTTAAAAAAAAAAATATTTCATTGATGTTCTGCTTCAAAACTATACTGACATAAGACCTAGTTATAAAGAACATTACAAATATAGCAGAATATATCGTTATACAGGTGAAAAGCTAAAAGCCCAGGTTAATTTTACAACTTTAGCTTGATGGGACTCGATTTTTATCATCACCAGGAAAAAACATACTAAAAAAAAAAGAACTCAAAGTAAAGGACGCTCTTTCCTGCATTCAGGTGTATTGGGCATATAGGGCTAGACCTATAATTCACAGACCCATCGACATTCAGTGGGTGATTTGGTCAACATCACGCTGGCCACCTTTATTTCCTAGGAGTTTACCTGGTACTCATTTAAAGCTGGGTCGACCTGGGAGCCAAGGTCATTTTTGAAAACGGTCAGGCTTTCTCAGGACCTGAACCTAGAAATCAGCACAGCAGCTAGCCGCTACACCACGGCGGCAGCTCCCAGAAGAACTTAGCATACATGCAGTCTAGAAATAGGTGGGGTTACACACATATCTGCATACTCACTTTCTTAGTATCTCCTGTTGGGTAACTCGGGACATGCCCATTAACAGCAATGACAGGTGAGGTCACATTGCCTGACCTTTGACCACCCAGTGATCTGTGTTTAGCCTTCTTCTCTGAAATGGACTCTTCTTCTGATGCATGTCCAGCCAGCATACTGGTGTCTGGCGAACTCATATCTGACCTAATTAAAAAAAGGATGCATACACCAAACTGTAAGATGACAATATTTCAATCACATATCTCCGTTGTTCCAAATTAGCTCAGACATGAGAACCTCTCCTATTATCGGAGGTCTGCCATGGACTGCAGACCTTTTAATAGTCAAAGTGAAGAATTTATATACAAATTATTCACAGAAAATCAGTCAGCATGTCCTCTACAGAACAGCTCTCTTGTCCGGTCAAGCCTGAAAGTCTCTCCGTCTCTAGCCAATTCTTCAACCCTGTGTGCTTTCATAACCAATACCTCTTCAATTTTCTGCATCCACCTTTCTAGTGGTCAGCTCTGCCTCGTTTTCCAGAAATGCACCCTCCCATCACCGTTCTCTCCAGACCACAACGGCGGCCCACAAGTCCACAATACCTAAGTTTTCGAGAGAGGATGCTGTTTATGAGCCAGTTCTCCGTGAGTTCAGGTCATGTAGGGTGTCAAAATGTTTCTACTTCTTGGTACATGGCATTCTAGGAATTTTTCTGTAGCATTTCAGTTCAAAAGCTCAGATTTTCTTCTTCAAAGACTTGAGTGACAGTCAATGACTCACACCCATAAGTTGCTGTTGTAAAGATGCATAATCTCAAAATTTTGACTTTAACTTGCTTGCATGTGCTATGCCACAGGTTTTTCATGTTGTTAAGCCTCTGCACTGCTAAAGCACATTCTAAGTCTTTTTCTGACTTTTTTGTGTGCAGTGCACTTCCTGCTGTTGTTCATTAATGAGCCTAAATATTCAACAAAATATGTGACATTATCAATTCCTTGGTTGTCGATTTTAATATGTGATTGGTGTGCTTATTTCATTGAGGACCGTACTTCAGCTGTCCCTAGAAACGGAATGTGTCAACTATTTTTTTTTTTAGGTGGGAAGGAATCGACACATACGGTTAACTCAATGGCCATGGCCAAATGAGCACCCCAGAGTTCTCAGACCAGAAAAGTCATGAAAGATTTCTGTCACTCCATTATGCCATGACCTAACAAATGTGAATTCTTACTTCAGGCTCTCTGAGCCATGTCTGTCATTTGATTGCCTTAAAATTTCTCTTGCAGTTCTGGCTCTGCTACATAAAGGTTTGACATCACAGTGACCCAATGAGCTTTGATCCAAATATATCAATCCAATAACAAATATCTATCCCTTTTTGTCCTTAAAAAATGTATTACAGTGAAGACCTAATAAGCAGAGCTCACTGGGGACACAAGAAATGGTTCTTCTTATCAGAAATCCTTCTTATCCAGATAAGAGTTCTAGCAAGAAACATTGCTGAGATAAAACAAACTGTTGTTTACAAACTCACCTTAAGCAGTCTGCACTATATTAGGGATACCTTAACATTTGATACTTCAACAGGTGGACACAGAGGGTACTGCTCTTTTGATCCAGCAGCATGCTTTATTTCAAGGGTGTGTTGCCTTTTCTTTAAAGTAAACAAGACGGGCAGAGGGAGGGATCATGTAGCATGGGCAACACATGGTCCCCTATAATACTTACTGCCCAGACTTTGTGCTATGAGAAGGAAGAATTTCACCCAGGCAACCCAACTGGTTGTAATCCCCAGGCCTCTCTACAACAGGATATAACACCATTTTCTAGAACAGTCATTCTTAACCTTTTTTTTTCAGGTGGCGACCAGCTTAAAGTATATGACAAGACATGACATAACAAAATGTGATTAAAAACTGGAGGACAACAAGAAAATTCCTAAGTACTGTTAACAAGAAACTGGGGAAAACAAAAATAATTTAAATTTTACCCGTAATGAATTTAAATAATGCAGATACAAACAATACATTTTTTTGCCAGGCATATTTTGCTTATTTCATCAGGTGCGTTACTACAGTTACATCAACATAAAATAAATAATATTCAGTATTGCGCTTTATGTTCTATATAAAAAAAAAATTATATTTAGTTTCGTGCTTTATTTTATGTTGATGTAACTCTGTAGTAACGCACCTGATGAGATACAGCAAAATATGCCTGGCAAAAGATTGAGCAATGTATTGCTTGTATCTGCATTATTTAAATAATTCAAAGTGTCAAATAACAAAAGAAACAACCACTAACAACTGGTAATTAAGAGTCCAAATGTCAATGTGACGGCTGACACGGTTTTGTCTGGAATATTGGACGAGGTACACACAAGGGAGATCACCCTCCATATCAAGCTGGCAACATTTTTGTGTTGTCATGACTTGCTAAAGCTCAAAATCGGGGTCATTACAAGTACAAATACGCTCAACTTCAAAACTGTTTGCTGCCCCCTTGAAACTTCCTTGCAACCCTGACGTTAGAGACCAGTCATCTAGGAAAAACAGAAAGATGCAAACAAACATTTGGTACCACTGTTATACTCTCACAAACAAATGATCACTCACTTTAGAGAGCTCTGGCTTGAACATGGCGAGCGCCTGGCAACATCTTTGTACATGCTGTATCCAGAGTATTTTCCGTATCCACTAACTGCACAACTGAGCTTCAAGTACGAGGGCTTGTGGGAAGGGTCAACAGGTGAAGATGGATCTGACCTGATAAAGACACAAATGTAGAATGTTGGTGAAAAATAAATATAAATAATAAAAAAATAAAAAAACCATAGGTCATAACATCACAGTTTAGTGAAAATTAGGCTAAAATTATATAAACTGTTCAACCGTATATGTTATACTACTCAACACATAAAAAAAAAAAAAATTCCGCCACTGAAAGGAAACTAATTTTGCCATTCAAAATCTGTGAAACTGAATAAGTGAAACTTGAAATTGCACACAAGAACACTGTAGGGTTCAACCAATCAATTGACAGTTCTTTTCCAGCCGGGTCATCGATAATTTATAGGCATGCAGGATTTCCCGTCAATTAATAACTATGCATATCTTTTTGTTGTTGTTGCTTGAACAGAGTATTCTTCTTCTTCACGTTCACCAGCTGTAAACTCTGGTGGAAGGAAAGTTCTGGTTGCTCATCCACTTTTGGACTGCAGTCCTGTTCCAGAACCTGAGTGTTGCGTGTGCATCCGGTTTACAGATCTGTCTCATTTGTGTGCACACTGCTGGTTCCTTGTCTCTCAGACAGATGCACTCTGACTTCAAAGGAAGCTCCCAATTAGTTGACTCTTAAGACATGCTTTTGGGTAGGCAGTGGGTCTATTCTTCTTCCACCCCCCCCCCTCCACCCCCATAAAAGGGCCCTGGAACCCACGGGGGGGGGGGGGGGGGGATATATAATTGGGGTAATATTTTTATTGCCTAATTTTTTTGTGACAATTTTTCTAGGTTTAATATCCCCTTTCTTTTCTAGAATTCTCCAGAATTGGCACCTGGAATGTTAGAACTCTCTGGCATAGAAATAAAGGAAGGCCAAAAAACATGGAGAAGAGAGCTGTAGAATGAAGTTAGAAAGATGGGGAGGACATGGGGAGACCTCCATGCAATGGTGAAGGATAGAACGACTTGGCGTGAGCTGGTTGAGGGCCTATGCTCCATTGGGGGATAGAAAGGCGGAAGAAGAATATCCCCTTCCATTTGGGTATTGGTGTTAGGTTTGCTATAGATTTAAAAATAAATAAAATAAACAAATGTAGCCAACTGCCAGCGAATGTGTACGTGCAGTTAAAAAAAAAAAAAGGACCTTTATGGCAGTGGAACAGCGGGCATATGATGCTACTCTTTTTTGTATGGGCTAAATAGCACTAGGTGGGTGATGCTGTCAACCTCATGTCACCTTTACTTCCAACAGTATTACCTAGCACCCATCTTAGGTAGAGAGGGACAAGGTCAGTTTTGAAGACAAAAATCTTTTTGCTGGTTTGAACTTAAGACATGTGGGTTGCAAGCAAAGGTCTAAAAAAGAATAGTGGAATCAAATTTACCTAGATTTGAATGCTGTTTGTTGATGAACATGACTATCTTGTGTAAACAGTTCCCTCCTGTTGAGTATGCCTCTTTTCAAACTGGTGCTGTCAGTTTCACTAGGGGGCGGTCCCTCGGTTGAGTTGACCAATGAACTGGGGATGATGACTTGTTTCGAGCTTCCTGATTGGCTGAGGAGTGATGGCTCACTGGCTGTGAAATACACAGATACAAAGACATGTAAACATATTTTAGGTACTAACCATTGTCTGTCTGTGTGTATGTATAAGTTTACCTGTTGGACTGACTAAAGAATATTTATGTGTCAAAATCCATGTGTCCGTTGATAACTGAAGGAAAATAATGTGTGTTAGGCCCTAATCTTTTCTCTCGCATGACTGCCTGAAAGCCAAAAGAACAGTTTTCTCTAAACCGTTCTACCAAAGGAATCAAACCCTGGTGAACTACGAGGAATGCACTGTGAAACTAGTTCACTAACCTCTTATTTTCAACTAATTTTACTCCAGAGCCAACATTTTGGAAATGTAGACAGATCATTAACACAATACTGCTGGCATCGATCAGCGGGCCACTTCTAGGCCTCAGATTTGGCCCGAGGTCCGCGAGTTGAATAGCCCCGCTTTAAGTAGATAGGTATACTTCTTTCTATGAGTGCCGATCAATACACTGTTTGGTTGTTACCGTTGACGAAATATTTACATATATAGGACTCTGCGCGCACACACAAAGATAATTCTCCAAGTTGCGGCATTCTTCCAAAAAGGTTTTATCTGGACAGACAAAGAAGTGAGGAGGAAAGAATGGGAACATCGTACTATTTTCATAAATCTTATGGGGTGCATAAGTATGATCATAGTTTACAGTGTCCGGGTTTTGTTAATAACATATGTTTTGCAGCAACACAAGAGCCGCCAGACACCTGCTTTCACACAACTGAAAACACGGTGCATTCAAACAGGCCGTGTTGTCTTAACGTCTCACTGCAGTGACGTAATTTCCGCTCTCGTCTGAGGTTTGGTAAAGGCGTTAACAAGCTGACTATTGTTGTGCGGCATGTGCTGGGAACTGCATATTTGACTTGTGTAAAGTGGTCGATTATTTTCATCGTTTTGTCATGACTGACAGCATAATCATCGCACACGGTTATAGCCAACGCGAGCGGTGCTTGTTAGTCCAACTCGCCATCGAAGAATGCGAGTCCTATATGCCACAATGCAACACTATCGTCTGGATCCTTCAAACAGTGTCGCCTTCTGCAGGCTAGTTAAAGATTGACTGCACCATCATGTGATTAAACATCTCCATCTGGACGGCAGACCAACTAGGCAGATCTCATATACCCCGTTCAGTCTCAAAAAGAAGCTATCATTAAGCCCCCTGTAACAGTTACACCATCCTGGTGTGACTGAGTCCTAGGCGGGCAATGACGATCCTCTGGTACGTAGGGGCTTTGCTGGGAAAAAAACTGTCACGTTCAACTAGCATCACTGAAGGGGGAGCTTTAGGTTATAATTGTGACTAGCTTATGTGTGCCACATTAAATAGTTTAGCACTGCACGCCACCAAACGCCCTATAAAGGACTCCTGCAGTGCTGATACGATCCAAGGAGAACCTAATACTGTCCCGACCAGTGACGAAGTCGTCTACCAGCGAGACAACGGTCCCCGATCGATCCTCTAGGAAAATATCAACAGGTTATAGCGAGGAAATCTCGCCCACAAGTGACTACAACAAACGTTGGTTCCTGAAGAAGACTGGGTTATAAATGGTGTTTGAAGGTGAAGGGTCAACTTTACTGTGGTGGGTTTTTACCCCATAATGACCAGGCTCTCAGGAGTCAGACTGCATCTGTCTGATAGACAAGTCAAATACATATGATGGCTATCCTCCGAATAACGAATAACATGGTAAGAGAAGGAGGACGTAGAGCACGAGGTAGACCAAGAACAATCAATATGGAAGGATAACATCAGAGAAACTCTACAACAGCACGATGTGCCTATCGTTGAGGCGGCCAGAAGAGCTAGAAACAGAACCTTCTATCTCCCTCGACACCCACAGCGGTAAAAGAGGAAGTGAAGAAGAAGGAGAAGAAGAAGATGAAGAAAGATGGCGGCCGCAAAATATCCTTTCGAGCCACAGTCACGTGTCAATTGCGCACTACCGGCGACTACCGCCACCGCCACGAGTTCCCAACGCTGCTCACGCGGCGTGGATTAGGGCTAAGCTAGATGGCTAGGACCCACGAGCAGCAGCTTCCGCATCTCCTGAAGCTCGTGAGTCCTAGCCATCTAGTTTAGCCCCAATCCACGACGCGTGAGCGGCGTGGGAGACTCGCGGCGGTGGCAGTAGTCGCCGGAGAAACGCAAACTAGATCACGTGACTGTGGCTTGAAAGGATATTTTGCGGCCGCCATCTTTACCGCCTGTTATTTGGAGGATAGCCCATATGATAGTTTCTTCTTCTTAATGTCCATGCTGTGTGGCATTGGTAGTCATGTTTATCCACAACCTTCTGCCTCCTGTACTTTCAACCAACTCTGCCAAAGATGACCCTCCATGCATAATGTCAAAGTGTCCAGCATCTTTTCTCTCGGTCTCCCTCTGCCTCTCCTCCCCTCCAACTTTCCCACTGTCACAATATACTCCAATTGTCCCCATCTCGTCACATGACCAAAGAATATAGATTGTCTCTTTCTGATGTGGGCAATCAGTTCTATTCGTGAGTCAGTTTCTTTCAATACATCTTCATTACTCTTTTTATCTGTCCAGTGTATTCTCATCATTCGTATAAAACATGTGATAGCAACAGTCATAACATTGAGAAAGAATCTTCTTAACGCCAGCAGAGTTTGCTAGTCACTTCTTAACGCCAGCAGAGTTTGCTAGTCACTTCTTAACGCCAGCAGGGTTTGCTAGTCACTTCTTAAAGCCAGCAGGGTTTGCTAGTCACTTCTTAGCGCTAGCAGGGTTTGCTAGTCACTTCTTAACGCCAGCAGGGTTTGCTAGTCCCTTCTTAACGCCAGCAGGGTTTGCTAGTCCCTTCTTAACGCCAGCAGGGTTGGCTAGTCACTTCTTAAAGCCAGCAGGGTTTGCTATTCCCTTCTTAACGCCAGCAGGATTTGCTAGTCACTTCTTAACGCCAGCACGGTTTGCTAGTCACTTCTTAACGCCAGCACGGTTTGCTAGTCACTTCTTAACGCCATCAGGGTTTGCTAGTCACTTCTTAACGCCAGCAGGGTTTACTAGTCACTTCTTAACGCCAGCAGGGTTTGCTAGTCCCTTCTTAACGCCAGCAGGGTTTGCTAATGCTAGTCACTTCTTAACGCCAGCACGGTTTGCTAGTCCCTTCTTAACGCCAGCAGGGTTTGCTAGTCACTTCTTAACGCCAGCACGGTTTGCTAGTCCCTTCTTAACGCCAGCAGGGTTTGCTAGTCACTTCTTAACGCTAGTAGGGTTTACTAGTCACTTCTTAACGCCAGCAGGGTTTGCTAGTCACTTCTTAAAGCCAGCAGGGTTTACTAGTCACTTCTTAACGCCAGCAGGGTTTGCTAGTCACTTCTTAACGCCAGCAGGGTTTGCTAGTCACTTCTGAACGCCAGCAGGGTTTGCTAGTGACTTCTTAAAGCCAGCAGGGTTTGCTAGTCACTTCTTAACGCCAGCAGGGTTTGTTAGTCACTTCTTAACGCCAGCATGGTTTGATAGTCACTTCTTAACGCCAGCAGGGCTTGCTAGTCACTTCTTAACGCCAGCAGGGTTTGCTAGTCACTTCTTAACGCCAGCAGGGTTTGATAGTCACTTCTTAACGCCAGCAGGGTTTGCTAGTCCCTTCTTAACGCTAGCAGGGCTTGTTAGTCACTTCTTAACGCCAGCAGGGTTTGCTAGTCACTTCTTAACGCCAGCAGGGTTTGCTAGTCCCTTCTTAACGCTAGCAGGGCTTGTTAGTCACTTCTTAACGCCAGCAGGGTTTGCTAGTCACACTCCCCATTCTCACCGGTTGTGACTGCCATGCCGCCCTACAGCACAAGGGGTCGCTACCCTACAGCACAAGGGGCCACTACCCTACAGCACAAGGGGCCACTACCCTACAGCACAAGGGGCCACTACCCTACAGCACAAGGGGCCACTACCCTACAGCACAAGGGGCCACTACCCTACAGCACAAGGGGCCACTACCCTACAGCACAAGGGGCCACTACCCTACAGCACAAGGGGCCACTACCCTACAGCACAAGGGGCCACTACCCTACAGCACAAGGGGCCACTACCCTACAGCACAAGGGGCCACTACCCTACAGCACAAGGGGCCACTAACGTTTCTTAATGTTTACCGGCACTATACTACGGCAGAAATTCTTGTTGTTCGTCCACTTCTGGACTACAGCTTTGTTCCAAAACTTGAATTCTGCCTAAATGCCCGTTTTACAGAGCTGGCTTACTTGTGTGCAGACTGCTGATTCCTCGCCACTCAGGCAGATGCACGCCAACTTTGAAGAAAACCAAGTTAATTAGTCGGTTTTTACAAAATTCTTGTGACTTTTCCTTCCGAAATAAGGTCCCAGAAAGAAAAGTGCCAACAACTCCCACTGTGTTACTATTGTCACTTCCTGCGACCCAAACGTTGAGTGTTTTGAACTAGAATATCTCCAGACAGAGAGAGAGAGAGAGAGAGTTAAAGTAACTACCTTCAAGTGCTCCCAGAGTGTAATTTAGCTTTTCGTCTGTGCTGAGAGCCCTAATACGACAAAAGAAAGCTATCGGAGTAAACGTATAGTCTGAAACGAATAGAAGAACTGCTAGGAGTCGGTATAATTATATCAGGGTTCATAGCCAAATTTATCAATCAATTTCAAGGCTTTTCAAGGTCTTTTTCAAGGTCTCCTTAGTTTTTTTCAAGGTTGTCTCGGTGTAATACTGAAACAAGATTTTTGCCTTGTTCAAGGGTGTACTGAGCACACAAGGTACTTCATTTGTGCCACATGTGTTGGTATACCAGCACAGATATCATCATCATGTAGCATTTCCTTTGTCCTGACAAAAAAACCTCGGTCTCTCACCAGCTCTCCCGCCTCATGTACTTTTTATACTCAAGGAGTCACTTTTATCCTGTGCCCATCTTCGTGCTGGTCGGCCCCTGAGCTTGATATAGTGTTTGAAATTATTTTTAGGGCTTGGTGGTAGAGGGCAGCAAACTGAAGTCCTGTCTGTTCTGGACCTGGTACCTGAGAGGGTTAGGGGAGAGAGAGAAAGTCATGAAGAGAGAGGAAGACACACGCTGAGGTAGGCTGGGAGAGACAGTGTAAAGATGGACAGATGAAGGTAGAGAAAAAAGGAAGGAAAAGAAGTCTGGGGAAGGAGGAAAAAATGAGAGGGAGGGATGGAGACATGATGAGGAAAAGTGGGGAAGGAACAGCGAAAGACAGAGAGGGAAAAAAATACAGAAAGAGGGAATGCAGATACAGAGATGGGCAGATGAAAAGAGAAGGAAAATGGGAACGAAATAGAGATATGGAAGAAGGAAATTATGACAAAGAGTTGAAAGAAGGGAGACAGAGGGAGAGAGAACGGACAGGGTGAGAAGCAGATGCAAGCAGAGAGAGATGTAGACATAAAGGAGAGAGAGAGACAAAGGGACAGCACAGAGAGGCAAACAGACAGAGGGAGAGAACCAAAGAAAGAGAAAAAAGGCAGAGCAGGAGAATGGGAGGGAGGTATACAAAGAGGAAGTGATGAAGGGAGGCAAACAGACATAAAGCAAGAGAGAGAGAGAGAGGTGGGTAAGGAAGGCAGTGACAAACACAGATTAAGAGAGAGGGGCAGGAAGGGAGACAAGATACATCAAAGAAAAAAAAAACAGCCACCTACTCCCCCCCCCCCCCCCACACACACAATTTCAAGTGTAGTGGACACAACCACTAGGAAAAGATAGTTATGGGCAAAAAAATACGTAGATGAACCAGTTAAAAAAAAAATTATGGGGGGGGGGGGAGAGAATGAGAGAGGGGAGCGGGCAAGGAAATCTAGAGAAAATGAAAAGACAGGATGGAGAGGAGACAAAGAAGAGATGGGACAGGAGAGAGGGCAAGGAAAGAAAGAGAGGAAGAATGGAGAGAGAAAGGAGAATAGTAGAAGATCAAAGGAAAGAGAAGGGGTGAGAGAAAGGTAAGACACGGTTGTGGGGGTGGGAGTGTAAGAACAATGAGTGCCAAAAATAGAATTAGGAAATCTCTAAGTGAGGCCACTTTTCCGGTTCCTACCCTCTCCCAATGTGAATGTGGTCCAAAAACAACAGTGCTAACCCCTACTGCCCCTTGCTTGTCCTATCTGTGTGTGACAACAATAATTCAATTTCTTACACTTAAGGCTGGTGACCTGAGAGCCAAGGTCATTTTATGAAGAAAATAAAAGTCCAGGGGATCCCAACCCACCACTGGTGGAAAATAGAGAAGTTTACCCACACACATAAATAGGTCAGACACATAAATAGGTCAGACACATAAATAGGTCAGGGCAGCAGTGGACTTCGTTTTTATTTCTGGTTTTCCAATTACAGAAAGGAGGGGAGAGAGGAGGTGGTGGAAAGTGGTGTAGAAGGCTGAGGTGGTAAGGGTGAGACAGAGGAGGTGAGAGAATAAAGTTTAAGAAAATAAAGTGGGAATGAGACAGGGAGAGAAAGAAGGGAGTAAGAAATAAGATGAGATATAGAGGGAAGAAGGTAGCAGGAAGGGGTGCACTCCCTCCCCTAGGTGTCATCAATGTGGGAGGAGAAAAGGGGGGGGGGTGACCGGCAAATGTGTTTTTAAAAGTACACATATATTTAATGTGTGGGAGGGGGAATGGTGGACATGAAATGTTCTGCACTAGGCAACACATAACCTTCTACACCAACTGAAGGTATGGAGAAAGAAAGAGAGAGAGAGAGAGAGAGAGAGAGAGAGGGAGGGAGTGAGGGAGAGTGAAAGAAGAAAGCAGTGACACAGACAGGCAGAGAGTGAGGAACAGGTAGGACAAAATGTGAGGGGGCGGGAAGGGAGATGGACAGAGATTAAGGCCGCTAGGAAAACAAACACATCAAAAGAAAATATCCACCATGTTCACACAGAATTCCCCCCCCCCCCCCCCAATACAACTTCCTGTGTACTTGAGTTGCTAGGAAGAGTTATATGGAGCCGCACATTTACTAAACATTTAAACAAGAAATAAAATAGGAAAAAAGGGGGAGGGGGGGACAGTAAATGAGAGAGTAAAAGGAAAGATAGAGAGAAAGAGAAGAAGATGAAGATCAGAAGGGAGGGTTAGAGACAATGCAGGAGACGGGAAGGAAGGAGCAATAGGTAGAAGAGTGAAAGAGGGAGGGAAGAGAGAGAGAGGGGTGAGACAACAGAAGAGGGAATCTCGGGGAATTACAATACTGATCGCCAAACACACTGTAAAGATAAATCCAGGCCAAAAATAGAACTGGGAAATCCAGCTGCAGTCACTTTGCTTAGCCCCAATGCCATCTCTAATTAATAGAGAAGGCCGTGCTTAGCCCCACCACGGCGACTCTATTTATAAATACAACTGAACCGAGCCCCACCATCTCCCAATGTAATCCTTTCTAGAAACCACGGCCATAAACTATTTAAACTGTTCATTCTGCCCGACTTGCTAGAAACAAAGGCACACACACACACGCGAGACGGAAGCTGCTCCTTCCCGCCCCATGCCACACTGCTGCTGTCTGCATGTATTTATGATCTGTAACAAAGCCCGCCCTCCCCTGGCCTTTAACAAGCCATTTCGGCTGAAAATAGCCAATAATCAGCTGCCCTCACACCTGAAACGACCATACAATGAAAGTAGCCAAAAACTAGCCAAATGGCCAAAAAAGCCAAATGGCTCCCCCAAAATTGCCTGTGCTTGAAAAACACAGGATTTCTGACGATTTCATTGCCGCGGTCAAAATTCACGGCTTTTTAAGGTCGGAATGTCTTTTATAAGCTAAAAATCCCGGTTTAAGGTCAACGAAAAAAATCCCGGTAATTTCCCGATTTCCCGGTCCACTACGAACCCTGTTATATGTTCTATTCGTCACAATTGCCGGTTGAAATTTACGTCTGAAAGTTGTTATCAGTACAAAATGTGGCTCTGATTATTTTTCTGAAAGTAGTAAACATTGGCCCTTTGATCTTATGTTATAATGTATTTCTTAAAAGCAAAAATTACCAGTGTAATTGTATATTTGCCTATATTTTAATCAGTAAAACTTGCGACTTTGTAGTGCATCTAAAAGAAAACGTGAAAACCACTTCCCAAAAGGCTGAGCCATCACTGCACAGTCTGCCGACGACCCAGCCTGAAGATGAAGACTTTCACAAGCCTTGAACTTTCTGTTTCTGTAAACATGAGTCCTGTTTTGCATTTGGCTAGCAAACATGTAGGACAACGTTTGCTTTAAGAAAAAGCTATCAGCAAATGTCCCGATGCCCTAACAAGAATTTCCAACTCTACGTTATCGGATCGTCCGCTACTTCCGCGCGGTTCAGTGTTTTTATCTTCTTCTTGCTTCTTCTTCTTTATCTTCTTCTTTGCGCTCACGAGCTGTAAACTCTG